GCCTCACACATTTGTGGAAATGTGCAGGGACTAAGAAGAAGTAGGATGCTAGCTAAGGGAGAAGTGGATCTACGCGTCGGAAATGGAGCAAGAGTTGCTGCATTGTGTGTTGGCGTTTACGATTTGCATCTTCCTTCTGGACTTGTTTTAGAGCTTAGTAATTGTTACTATGTTCCTGCGATTAGCAGAAACATTATTTCTATTTCATGTCTGGATTTGGATGGTTTTCGATTTGTGATTGAGAACTCGAGTTTGATGATTTATCGAGACGATATTTACTATGGTAATGGTTATCTAGTTAATGGTTTGTACGTCTTGAATGATCAGCCTTCAAACTCAACATCATCCATCTATAGCGTGAGTACTAAACGGTTTAAGCCGAACGACTTAAACCCGACCTTCCTCTGGCAATGTCGTCTAGGCCATATAAACGAGAAGCGCATTCAGAAACTTCATTCTGAAGGTCTTCTGGATTCATTTGACTTTGAGTCTCTTGAATCATGCGAGTCTTGTTTGATGGGCAAGATGACAAAGCAACCGGTAATTTCGTTCCTACTTTTATTCTTGTGTATGATTCATGTTTTGATCAGAATGTTATGAATCTTGAGCAACAAATGCAAACTTTCCAAACGGATTACCTCTATAAAGTTCTCAAGGGATGCACATACTACACTAACGAGATTGTTTTTTTAGATCTTGTTAATTGTTCGCAAGTACTACATTTTGATGAAAGGGTGAAAGAAGTGCAAGAAGAGGCAACTACGTGCATTTTCCAAGATCAAATTCTGCATGTCAAGAGTATCCCTTACCATCAACTCAATGGGCATCCAAGAAGCATGTTCACTTTAATGCCCATGGAACCAAAGAAGGACGCACCATTCAAACGAGGAAAGTGTACAAACGTGGAGAACTTGATCCATCATTACGACACCACCAACACTCGAATACACATTTGGGTCATGTTCCTTACTCCAACTGCCTTACGCGGTAACTTCGTTCTTATCTTTATTCTTGTTTATGACCAAAGGAAGCAATTCGATGAGAACACAAGCTGCACTAACATTGTTGCCCTAGATTTTTCTACTAGATTGCAGATCTTGTGTATGATCGAAAAGAAGATTGAGGCAAATCAAACATTCATCATTGAAAGCCTCATCCGAGCACACGAAGTCAAATACTTTTATCATAGATGCATGGATGATTCAAGGGTTAGAACCGCTATAAACCCAAAGACAATCAAGCAATACGAGCCATTCGATCGAGGAAGAACACGAGAAGAAGAGTTGCGCAAGCCTAAGTAGCAGAAATATGATGTCGAGCACATCCGCCAAGATCAAGGTACGTATAAGGTGTCCTCTATGTTTAAGGTGGCTGATTCATTTCCTTTTGTTGCAGAAAATAGAATTTCGAGGGCGAAATCTTCGCAAGGGGGAGGGAATGATGAGGACATCGGAGCTAACAACTTGGACGAGGACGGGAGCTTAACAGAAGGAGCTCTAGAAGATGTTCAAGTCTTGATCCATGAGGCGTCAAGAGTCTTGCCATATGATCATAACGTCACAAGATCATTCGAAGTCGTGGGAACGGGATTTGACGTGCACAACGCGAAGGCTCCCCGAGCAATCCATAGAGCCGAACCTCCTCTCACTCGTGTTAGAGCTCGAGCCCTCCGCATCACGTTAACAAAGGCCGTCACTCAAGTTCTTCACGGAGTTCGGGATTACGACGCAAACACCTCCCTTTTCGGTCAAGACTTAACCCGGAACGTCTCCTCCATCATGGCCGAAAGCTATTGGACTCAAAGATGACTTCAAGCCAGCCCATGAGCTGTCCATTTCAGCCCAAGAACAAATCAAGGCCCAGCCCATTAGTCCATTAAATTCCAACAGCTCTTTTCTTCCCAACCACCTTATTAAATGACAATTAGGCTCCTTCTCTTGCATGAAGACTTGCATTTATTGTTGTTTTCCCTATGTAAACCACCTAGAACTCTTTTGTAATGAGATTTGAACATTTGAATGAAGTAATTTCGAGCTTGCCTCATCCTTTGTTGGTTTGTCCAACAATCTCTTTCGGTTTGTCCGAAAATCCCGAGCTCGGTGTGTCCGGCTCACCTTTCGGTTTGTCCGAAGCCATACTCGCCATCTTCCCCTTCATTTCCACCATCCATTCTCTAATTCTCTCTTGAATTCGAGTGCCACTTGAGTGAGCCGGTGATTGAGAGAGTTTCCCGTAAATCCCCTTCGATTATCCCCGTTTGTTCGTGAGTACCCAACACTTCCATCCTCTTCCGTGCGTACATCATTTTGGTATCAGAGCTTGCTCGAGTCATAGGACGTTCCCCGGGTGAGATCTATCCTTTTATAATTTCTGTTTTATCATTTGTTCGAGTTTCATTGAAAAAACCGAAAAACAGTCCCGAAAAATCTGAGTTGTGTTGCTACGAATTTTCAGGTTGTAAACGAGAGTTTCGAGCGAGATTCACGAGCCTTAAGCGCAGTTAAATCACGGTGATATCTCTCTTTGACCGAGCTTGATCCATTGTTTTGTGATTAACGATTTGGTTGTGTGATTGTTGACCGTTCATCTTCCAAAATCAGATTTGTGTGATCACTTCGTTTGCTTGGTAGATCAAACAGCTTGTGTGAAGAACACTTGTGAATCATTTACACGTTTATGTGTGTCTAGAATCGTGTTATCCTTGCTCACGTTGATTGACATATCATTTGAAATCTGCAACCGAAAAATTTGTTTTAAGCGTGATTACGACGAACCGTTGATTGTTATCACTCCTTCATTTTTTTCGCTTCGATTGCACGTTTGTCTTGCGTGTTTGCTGTTCATTCTTGAGTAAATCTCTCCTGTACGATGTGTATTGAAACGTGTTGATCGCTGGTCGTAAATTATTAGCACGTTGGGTTGATATATCGCACATTGTTATACGCTATTTACTCGCACGTTGCTGATCGACTTTGTATCGCACGTTGTGTGTTTCTTCCATCGTTGGCTGCTGTTCGATTGTACGTGATTGATAGGGTACGTACAGATTGCGCAGTGCATGAATTGCTCGTTGATAATCACGTCTACTCTTTCCGTTCTTGCACGCCGAGTGTTCGATTGATTGCGCAAAAAAAAAATCTGTTTGTCGTTGCTTATTTGAATCCGTGTGTGGAATAGGTTTGATTGCACTTTTTAGCTTGTACACGACATTGTTGCACATTGAACGTTTCTGCTATATTTGTTTGGACTTAGTGCTGCACGTTTTGTGACCTAGCATGCTTGTTTGAGACTGTTTGCATACAAGTGTGTGTTGCTTGATTGAGTGCACAAGAACTGCGAGTAAAACGAGTGCAAGAGCGTAAGTCAATATGTCTACCAAACGGGCCAACATAGAATCTAGTGAGAGCGCTATGCTTCAAATGTTACAACAGATTCAAGATCGCCCCACACGACTTGAGCAGGAGACCCGACCCATAGAATCTGCGAGGGCCCCAAACCACCGCCCGTATCATGAACTAAGGGCTGATCCGAAGTTCAAATCTTCCATTTTTACGGGAAAGAAAGATCCCGAGGAATATCTCGAGTGGGAGCGCCAAATGGATGCCATTTTCGAATACTATTCCTTGTCGAACCGAAGGAAGATTCAATACGCAGCGTCCCAACTCGCGAAGGATGCTCTCACATGGTGGGAACGAGAAGAAAGCAATCGACGCCGTGCACATTATGATCCGGTTTCCACTTGGAAGGAGATGAAAATCCTCATGCGAAAAAGGTATGTCCCTCGACATTGTCTTCGTGAATTGCAATATAGATTTGATAACATCATGCAGGAAGACAAGACAATTAAGGGATACTTCGAAGAATTTGAACATCGACGACGACGAAGAAGCTCTCATGGCACACTTTCTCGATGGTTTGCAACATCAAATAGCAATAAAGGTAGAACAAAAGGTCTATCATGACTTACAGGATCTCGTGCATTCGGCAATTAAAATAGAGCAACACATGAACAAAGCGCCGACAAGGAGGCACACACAAGCACAAAAACCTCTAAGCAATAGCTTTGTTAAAATCGAAGACAAAGACAAGGCGAAGAATCATGATGCTCGATACAAGGAGGACTCAACCAGACAAAGACAAGGCGAAGAATCATGATGCTCGACACAAGGAGGACTCAACCGTATCTTCAAAGGCGGTCACCGCCCTAGGTAACAAAACGTTTTCCTCATATATTAATCATAAACATGAGGTTATTTGTTCTAAGTGTAGGGACCAAGATCATTTGGCACGAGAATGTCCCAACCAACGAGAAATCATCATCGAGGATGACGGGGAATCAAAGTCCATAGTTGAGGATGTGGTAAATCTTGAAGAGACGTATGAGGTTATGTCCAAGAAGGAAATAGAGTACGTGAACGAAGAGAAAGAGGAACCGGTCGAAGATCCCGACCTCATGATAAAAGAAGTACCCAAAAGTGCTGCGAATGCAAACGGAGAGATGCATGGCGTCAAGAAAGAGGCATTCGAAGCCAAGAAAATCATTGAGGACTCCAACAACACGAAAGTGATGGAAATCAATGAAGAAGCCGATAAATCGGAGAACGTGATAGTAGGCGAGAGCTTGAACGAAGTCAAACGGGACATAGGAATGATACGATTGGATTGGTTTGAGCAAATAAAAGTCACGTCCAAGAAGGAAAATCATGGCTTCAAGGTGGTAAGCAAACCTTCGGCAATGACGAATGACAGAAACTTCATTCTGAAGGTCTTCTGGATTCATTTGACTTTGAGTCTCTTGAATCATGCGAGTCTTGTTTGATGGGCAAGATGACAAAGCAACCGGTAATTTCGTTCCTACTTTTATTCTTGTGTATGATTCATGTTTTGATCAGTATGTTATGAATCTTGAGCAACAAATGCAAACTTTCCAAACGGATTACCTCTATAAAGTTCTCAAGGGATGCACATACTACACTAACGAGGTTGTTTTTCTAGATCTTGTTAATTGTTCGCAAGTACTACATTTTGATGAAAGGGTGAAAGAAGTGCAAGAAGAGGCAACTACGTGCATTTTCCAAGATCAAATTCTGCATGTCAAGAGTACCCCTTACCATCAACTCAATGGGCATCCAAGAAGCATGTTCACTTTAATGCCCATGGAACCAAAGAAGGACGCACCATTCAAACGAGGAAAGTGTACGAACGTGGAGAACTTGATCCATCATTACGACACCACCAACACTCGAATACACATTTGGGTCATATTCCTTACTCCAAGAGCCTTACGCGATAACTTCGTTCTTATCTTTATTCTTGTTTATGACCAAAGGAAGCAATTCGATGAGAACACAAGCTGCACTAACATTGTTGCCCTAGATTTTGCTACTAGATTGCAGATCTTGTGTATGATCGAAAAGAAGATTGAGGCAAATCAAACATTCATCATTGAAAGCCTCATCCGAGCACACGAAGTCAAATACTTTTATCATAGATGCATGGATGATTCAAGGGTTAGAACCGCTATAAACCCAAAGACAATCAAGCAATACGAGCCATTCGATCGAGGAAGAACACGAGAAGAAGAGTTGTGCAAGCCTAAGGAGCAGAAATATGATGTCGAGCACATCCGTCAAGATTAAGGTACGTATAAGGTGTCCTCTATGTTTAAGGTGGCTGATTCATTTCCTTTTGTTGCAGAAAATAGAATTTCGAGGGCGAAATCTTCGCAAGGGGGAGGGAATGATGAGGACATCAGAGCTAGCAACTTGGACAAGGACGGGAGCTTAACAGAAGGAGCTCTAGAAGATGTTCAAGTCTTGATCCATGAGGCGTCAAGAGTCTTGTCGGATGATCATAACGTCACAGATCATTCGAAGTCGTGGGAACGGGATTTGACGTGCACAACGCGAAGGCTCCCCGAGCAAGCCATAGAGCCGAGCCTCCTCTCACTCGTGTTAGAGCTCGAGCCCTCCGCATCACGTTAACAAAGGCCATCACTCAAGTTCTTCACGGAGTTCGGGATTACGACGTAAACACCTCCCTTTTCGGTCAAGACTTAACCCGGAACGTCTCCTCCATCATGGCCGAAAGCTATGGGGCTCAAAGATAAGCCGAGCCTCCTCTCACTCGTGTTAGAGCTCGAGCCCTCCGCATCACGTTAACAAAGGCCATCACTCAAGTTCTTCACGGAGTTCGGGATTACGACGTAAACACCTCCCTTTTCGGTCAAGACTTAACCCGGAACGTCTCCTCCATCATGGCCGAAAGCTATGGGGCTCAAAGATAACTTCAAGCCAGCCCATGAGCTGTCCATTTCAGCCCAAGAACAAATCAAGGCCCAGCCCATTAGTCCATCAAGTTCCAACACCTCTTTTCTTCCTAACCACCTTATTAAATGACAATTAGGCTCCTTCTCTTGCATGAAGACTTGCATTTATTGTTATTTTCCCTATATAAACCACCTAGAACTCTTTTGTAATGAGATTTGAACATTTGAATGAAGTAATTTCGAGCTTGCCACATCCTTTGTTGGTTTGTCCAACAATCTCTTTCGGTTTGTCCGAAAATCCCGAGCTCGGTGTGTCCGACTCACCTTTCGGTTTGTCCGAAGCAATACTCGCCATCTTTCCCTTCATTTCCACCATCCATTCTCTGATTCTCTCTTGAATTCGAGTGCCACTTGAGTGAGCCGGTGATTGAGAGAGTTTCCCGTAAATCCCCTTCGATTATCCCCGTTTGTTCGTGAGTTCGAGTGCCGCTAGACGTGAGCCGGTGATTGCGATCAGACTTCCTTCCATCCTCTTCCGTGCGTGCATCACTTCTGGACTTATTTCTATTTCATGTCTGGATTTGGATGGTTTTCGATTTGTGATTGAGAACTCGAGTTTGATGATTTATCGAGACGATATTTACTATGGTAATGGTTATCTAGTTAATGGTTTGTACGTCTTGAATGATCAGCCTTCAAACTCAACATCATCCATCTATAGCGTGAGTACTCTATTTGATGAGACATAAGTCTGAAACACTTGAAATGTTCAAGGCTTTCAGAAATGAGGTACAGAACCACCTTGGCAAGACGATCAAGACACTTTGATCCGATCGTGGTGACGAGTATATGAGCCAAGAGTTCACTGACTATCTGGTTGAGTCTTGTTTGATGGGCAAGATGACAAAGCATCCTTTCAACGGGAAAGGACAGAGAGCGACAGAGTTATTGGATCTGATACATAGTGATGTGTGCGGACCAATGAGTTGTCCAGCTAGAGGAGGTTATCTGTATTTCGTTACGTTCACTGATGATTTCAGTCGATACGGTTATGTCTATTTGATGAGACATAAGTCTGAAACACTTGAAATGTTCAAGGCTTTCAGAAATGAGGTACAGAACCACCTTGGCAAGACGATCAAGACACTTTGATCCGATCGTGGTGACGAGTATATGAGCCAAGAGTTC